TGTAACTAAACCTTGAAGGCGTCTACTGAGCCTCCTTTGCACTAAATTTTATGTTGTCTAATCTGCTTAAACTGTCTTACTCTGACATAATAACATTCAAGCAAAATCTTCGAGTGACAAATGGCCAGCTAGCTTGCAAATGGATGCATTATAATGCACAACTAATACATTACATTACAATCTACTCTCTGATGAAATGCTCAATACCATGCATCAACGACAGTTCATAGACCGTTCTTCACATGGTCACGTATGCCCCAAGCGCTAACTCCAAATATTGATGTGATCATCACAGTATGCGAATGAAAATCGTCCGAAAAATCAGTGACTGGTGTGTGAGGAGAAAAGCTGCCTAGCTTCAGAAACGCCTGCAAATGGGCAAAAGCTGAGAACAGAGAGCATTTTGATTTGATGTGTATGCCTTCAACTTCACGGTGGTAAACATCGGTTAAACGGAAGTACTAAATTTCAAGCATTTCTCATGCGCGCAATGATCAGTGTCAATAGAGTGTACCAATCCCCAAACTGCACAACTTAAGTTTACTAATGAATTTATAAGCTACGTAATAAACGTTTTTCTCTGAAGAACCAGAGTGTATTAGGAACTGTATTTTTATGTGCATAATTAAGTCAATGGAAACGTCTCAAACTACACAGTTTCGTTTTGTCGCAAATGTCTCCGCAATACAAATCGAACACCCGCCGTACTTCGTCTCATGTGTTCGTTTTTTTAATTCTCTTACACACGGACTCGGACTGTGAACTTATGAAAAATTTCAATGCTTCCTCTAACTTGCTGCATAAAATGCTGAAGATATCTCTTCAGATGCACCAGTAGTTTCAGATATCTTTAGACACCCCTGGCAAAGTTATTCTACTCCAGTTAATCCAACAGAATTATGGTCATCAACAAAAACTGACAAAAACTTACCAAACAAGGACCGATATCAAAGTATATAAAGCAAATCGTATTCTGATAACAGTACGTGTCGCAGACGTCGTCGACGCACATCAACAAATTGAATCGAATCAGAAACTTGTTAACCTTCGAAATCATGGATGACAACGAGCTTTTCATCTGCCAAAATACCATTAGTTCATTGCGCACAGTTCATTAATTAACGACAGAACAAGAAACGCAAATGTGCACATAATTATACACAAGCAGATGAACAATATGTCAGAAAACAAGACTTGCATATCGGTAGAGGGAGAGTCTTACTGTGTTTAATACCATGTCGAAACAAGCCAGGTGCTTAGGTCGTTCTTTCTGAAAGTATCGTGATGTGGTTCCAATCTAATCTCTTCAAGATATGATTTTCTACGCAGACATGAAACAAACCTATTAAATATGTTGATCAAAAGGGGAACGCTTGGCTTAAAATAAATTTTTGCTTTCATTTGTTTTGCCGGTCAGGAATAGTTCGAAGCGGTTCTACTCTGCATGCTTACACTTTCACCAAGCCAGTCGGTCCATCCTGAAGAACCATGCTATGCTTTGCAAAGATTAAAAAAGCGTGATCCTAAAAGATGAGAACATTTTTTTAAATGCAGCTGTGACAAGAATACTTACTTGAGCCATGCGTACCGAGAGATGTTTCCGCATAAAGAATGCTACTCATACTTTTAAAATGGGTTATCAGTGTCAGACTCGCTTAGTCATTCTTACAGGGAAATATTCCTTTCAAGGTGCGGGCACAACAGCTTCAGAACGCTTTCCTAACGTTACTGCTGATCTTCCGTCAAACAGGCAAGTACAATGAAATAAACTACAAGAAGCGAAACAGTGCTACGTAGCCATCTGGCCCTTAGACCACCTGACGTGACCCCTTGGAAAAGTTCGTCGTGTAAGGCCGTATCGAGCATCCTGAACACAGTTTCAACTCATAAAAATTGTCATTTTTTGATCCGAAGAAGCAATTCGCAAACAAATGTACCAACATTCGGGTCTAACCTTGTTAACAAACAACTAGTGCACTACTTAGAACATGAAACATATAAGACGGTTTCAAAAATATACTCCTTAGTCTTGCACTGAACTTTTGGATACTTTAGTGTTGCAGAATACCGATCGCATCGCATTTCATCACGACGAAATTATTGTCTGTGGGGTGGCTTCGATAGTCCATTTTTTGAATTCCTTATCGCGACAATTCAGCTAATCGTATTTCACATTAACAAATATGCTGCTGCACTCAGCTTGTTGATTCGAAACTCGTCGACAAGTCTTTTATAACAGTACCGTAATCTAGAGCACGATCCCTTGGAATGTAGCTGATAGGGTGGTGTCCTTTAATTAACTTAGGAAAAATAGTTATGCTGGATCAGAAACTCCTTCTTATTCCTCTAGTTTTCATCCAGAAGACGTGAATCTTGAAGCTGAAAATAAGTATCAACAAAAGCTGGAACTCCAAGTCGAGAAAAAGCAGTTACTCTATTCATTACTCGATCTCTTCAAAACATCGAACTATGTACAAATATCTTGCACAAATTTTCAGAACAGTTTTCAACTTGTCTGTCTACTGAACTCCTTAGTAGTAGCGCTTGGCGCTATTAAAAAATTTTCTATTCTTTTCTCCACTGGCTCGACTAACCTAACGGCTTCACTTCATGTACACAGTTTAAAACGCGAAAAAGATTTAGATTGGTGGTTGAACGATTCAAATGTTTTTTACGTGAAATATATGTGTTTGTTGGTTAACATTCAGTTCAGCCACTTTAACGTTTTGACGGTAAAGTATGAGCCAATTGGGAAAAATACTCATGTTCGCTTGTTACACGTAAGTGCCTTCACGCTGTCATTTGTACTCAGCCCAGAGCCGATTATGCTACGGTCTACATAATGAAATGCCTCGGCAATAAAAGATCTCACCATGTGTTGCACTTGGTGCCCTGAATCGTGAATCGTTTAATCACCCATCTACATAAATACGGGCCCAGGAGCAAAAAACTGAAGCCTTGCCTTATGTAAAAATGTTTAATTCAAAATGTTTGACAAAGTTTAACGGCTTGTTTGCATATGTATTATCATGCATATAAAACGGAACGGAATTTGTATATGCTTCTGAAACTAAGACTGATCTCTCACTAAGACCGGCTGTGGCAGAAAGTCGAAAAGTGTCTGAGCAGAAAACGTGCGCGGTGTAAAATACCCCCCAGTAAAACCGAACCGCTGTCGTTAAGAAATGGTCTTATGCGTCAAGCAAGTCACGCTCTTACCTTCCTTTTGAGAAGAGCACACGCCACAGTACCGAGAGCAACAATGATCAGCCACACAGCGGTGGCACAAAATATTAACAGGCCATGAAGGCCAGAGAGTAAGATGGCGATCAACATCACCAGACTAAACGCCAGCCATCCGGTCAGCAAGCGATGGTAAAAGATCTTGTACATTCGGAAACGAAAATCACTGTTCAGCATTTGAAGTACAAAACCGTAATCTTCAACCGTCAGCTAAACAAATGTAAGCGATTAAAAACCTCCAAAATTTCGTATCTTTCAGGATACCGATATGCCATTTTTAACTTAGACCAGAGATGTGCAGTAATTGCCAGGAACTTTTATACAACAATTTAGCGTGTCAAATCATTTAGGCAAAGTTGCTAGAACGGAACACGGTAAATTAAGCGAGATCTACTACCGTAGCTCAACACAACCATATGTAAAACTAAAGCGGATACATACCGAAAAGGCACAAACTACAAAACTGCGTGAGTTGATACGCAATGCAAACTGTCTGTCTGAATATCAGCATCATTGAACTTCTCACGCACTCACTTTCAGTCCGTCTCCATCTCTCTATCAATCTTTTCATCACTCAGTATCTCGCTCTCAATGTCTCGACCTCTGTCGGTCGCTCTCTCACCCTTGCTATTTCCATCTCTGTCTCTTTTCCCATTTCTGATTATCTGCTTCTTACAGTGATTCTGTTTCAAATAATTTTTATCATATCTGAAACTCTGAATTTCCTGATTTCCGTTAACCCGTTTCTCCCTATATAACAGTCTTTCTCCTTCAATATCTCATATGCAAAACTTAACTAAATTAGAGTCGTACATTTATTAACGAAGATGCCAGTCCACTTTTGGAGGATCTGGAAGTGGTATAAAGACTTCATTTAAATAGAGACGGTTTTGCTTAATTCCAAATATTGCAAACCTTGATATCCTAGCCTATGAGCCACTACTTCTCAAAATCAAGAGATCTCAATTTCGGTAGTTTGGACACTTTGTCAGGGAAGTCGGTGAAGAAACACAACCCAGACTCACTTCGCAAAAGCGCATGAAAAGCAGCTAATCAAAAGATCGGGACGAGATGGCTCCAATACAATGAGTAAACAACTATGCCGTGCGTTGGAACCTACCTAGAACTCGAGTGACAGGCAAAAGATCAGGAACTTCGCCTGTCCCCAAGCCAGGATGAGAAATAGAGTGTTAAAGACTGTGATGAAGTCTCCCGTAAGCTCAGGTAGCTACCGCTCTGAATACTGACGCTATCGTCAGTGTAAATACTGTACACACTTAGCTAAAGTTCATGTGAAATCATCGACTCTTTGTTTCATCGATCTTGCTCCTTCTATGACAGACTGTGCAAGTATTCAGAAAACCAAACGTGGCAGAAGGTGCGACAGCTGCAAAAACAACACCCACAAAATTCCTTCGTTTCCCAGCGATAATTTCCAACAATTGCAGCATCATCCTGCCGAAGTTCGTTAAAACTCACGGCGTTTTGTCGCCATGCCACTTTTCATTCGCATTCAGTAACAACAGCGCATTCTCTTACAAGAAACCTGTCTGCACCAACGCACAATGAGAATCTATATCCTACATCATCATTTAAAAGATCTTTGAAAACGTTTGTTATCACCTTGATTGTCCCGGGAGAGTTAATTCGCGTGGCGATAGCTTAATGTGGATCAACTTGTACCGGTGTGAAAACTGTTTCAAGGAGTTAAAGAGTCTGCGAAAACGATGTACAGTGTTTAGTCGTAAAACGAGAACCAAGATGTTTACGGAGAAAACAACTGTTTCACGTCTGGAGCCATTTAAAACTCCATGACCGCTGGGACACTGGCGAGGCTGGGTGCATTCTAACCAGATGTTTAATAAACACGGCAACCGCTTTGAGCTGTTCTAATCGACCAAATGCACTCGTTGTACTAAAGTTTCCCGCAGCCCCTTTCAAAGCGGCCAAGTATAGGATCCGTGTACGTTCTATGCAAGAACTGGATTGAGGCTTACCGACGATCAGTACTGTGTTCGCTGTCTTACCGACCCCAAGAAGAACAATTATTTTGGACCAGACTCTGGTCAACCTGAATAAGAATCCAATTTGACTACCTGTTTTGTTGTTTCCATTCGTTCATTTCCTATATTCAAGTGCTAACGAACTATCGTGTGCCTCAAGGTTCGCCTAAATAAATGCAGCAGGTTGATTGGCCATCTGAAAATGTTCATGAATTTTCTACCCGTACACTTTGTCCGATGTCCGAAAAGAATAAATATGCAGGCTACAGAAATATAATGCATAGCTGCATATAATGAATAACCATAATAAAATTTGTCATGACTGGGCCATAGAAATTAATCAGACATCCATTTGCCATTATTATCTTACCCGAAATCGTCATATTTCACTTCCTCGTCTTCGTCGTGGTTATTGTCATTTAATCTCTCATCGTCTAAACCGCGCTTTCTACCTCGTCGTTTACGGAAGAAGAATATCATTGGGTATGATAAAGACACCGCACTTAACTGTAGCACAAGGTGACTGCACGGCACAGCAAATGAGTTCATGGGAATTCTAATTAAACAGACTTTTTAGCGTTATGCCTACTTCTTGACACAACTTCGTACTTACTTGACTTGACTTACTGGATGTCGCAAAGAGATTACGGCATCCCCACACCTCTTGTCACCATTTGCCACTGAATTCCGTCCTGGGCAGTATCAGATATGATTGCAAGTGAATCACTGTGCCATGTTTGGCTCGCAGTTTTCCGGTAGGTGCGGTTCATCTACGATCCGACAGTATGTCTCTGGTGCTGCCAAGCCATCAAGTTGTCGACCTGACTTTCAGACTTTTTCAGGATGGGTTCGACACACTACGAATAAGAATGTTGATCAGCCATTTGTCGTTCCGTCGCAGTGAGTTGCCGAAAAGCGAGTTTTTCTTTTATATTCATTAGAAGAGGGATTGATATTATTGCCATCCCGGCGAACATCATTTGTACTCGTTGTAGCGTCCTCCAGCAATTGTAAATTCGTGATTTATCAATCAATCAATAGCCGAGTATTCTGAGCTAAACGAGCTTTAAAATACATCTAGCGCGTTCGCCTCCTTTTTGGCAAGAGTTCGTAGCTGTGAAATACATCAGTAGTGGTCGAACAGCTGCCAGATATACGCGGACTTTCACTGACTACTGACAGCAGTTTTCCATAGGTTTTACTGCAGAATATTATATGCGATTCCAACCTTTATGATTCGTTCCTGGACGCCAGCTTCACAGCTTCTGTATGCGTCAATAGTATCATCGATTCAAGATAGCAGAACTTAGTTACACACTGCACATCTTCCGCTTAAATTTTTAAGACAGTGACATTTTCTGGGGCATACTGTGGAACAAGGACCTTGCATTTCAATGGTTTCCCGTTTCAGTCCGCACTTGGCACTAGCAATTTCTACTGCCGTAAACGCCTTCTGAAGTTCTTCCGGTTTCATTGCAATGTCCGCAACGTTGTCAGCATGGTCCACACTTTGTAACCGCCGTTCCGACGGTCTGAGTATCACTCGCTACAAAAGTTTTTAACTGCCCTGCCATCACGGCATCCATGCACTAGTTAAATAACACCTGTTCGGTGAACGACCCTTGCCGCGGCTAAAATTGGTGATGTCAAAACCGTTTGAAATGGTATCCCTAGTTTACATTAGCCACTGATAGCCGCAACGGCAACGTTCATATTCTTTCTGAGGCGTTTTTATTAACAACCCTATGTGCAATGTGTTTCTGCGAAGTGCACAAATCCCGCGGATCAGAATTATTCCATAAACTGTTTTTCGGGTATGCCATCAAGCAAAAAAAATTATCGATCCTTCAGTTCTCCAACCAGTTCTCTCAAACAGTCAGTGACTGTAACGGCTTATTCGTAACCTAAGTGTATCACTGCACCATCAGAATACTTCGCAAACAACAATGTGTGACGCTGAGATGAGCATTACCATGCTTCAAGATAGTAGATATTTCGAGGCCGTACACAAATTCACAACAAACGTGCGTCCTGCAAAATAATGATGCGCTTTTCTGTTATTATACTTTAAACCATTCAGATTATACACAAGCGCTCAAAATCTGCTTCTACCCATTAAGACTCGTATCAGGTACCGAGAAACTTAAGAATCGCACTCACAATATTTTGCCAATGACTAGACAAAAGCATGCGCGCGTCAATAAATGCGTTGTCGGTGTTCCTCATTAGTCAGAACCATTTTATTACAATACTCGAAATAAACGATTTCTTATACTGCTGTAGTCAGAGTACCTCCGTTAGCAGGATACTGCCGGAATCACAGTCGAAAGATCACAGGTTCGAATATAGGTCATATGGTGCGTCTTTTACGCTTACCAGTAAAAGGAAAGTACCACTACGTCATAAAGAAATGAAAGACTAGATTCAAGCAGCAACGATGCCAAAAACTATCACTCGCTGTCGAAATAACCGGAGGCAGACATCCTAAGTTACAAATTTTTCATTCTTCCTTTCCTATCTTATGCCGCTCCATAGCGTCTTCGAGTTGTCTATCGCGATGTGCTGTCTTAAAACCGTTGTCTTGTTCATAGGCAGACAGATGAATATTGTTAAATTCAGAAGCCGCTTAAAACTAACTGTAAATATTCCCGACGCATGCTGCGAACCCCGGATCCTATGAAATACACAGTGTGTTAAAAAATATTTTATGCTTAACTGAATATATTATACAAGTACACTTTTGTGATAACAGAACATACCGTAACATCGCTGTTAATAAGACTCTGTGGAACTGCACACGGATTAAAGTTTCCTCCAGTGAGCCAGTTGTGACAGCCGTGTTCAGGAGTCACAGTGATCAGCACTTTGCCATTCTCTGCAAAATTTATTGTAAATTGATTTCAGTGCATAAAGTATAAACGGTATAAAACACTTTTTCTTGCACAAAGAAGCGACTGGTAATTCGTGTGCTTATATTCCTACGCCTAACGCTTAAGTTAAAAGCATATGCAACGAAGAACTTTATCGCTACAAGGTGAACACACACGGAAAAGTAAATTTTGCTTACTCTACTGGGGATTTAGTGAAAATTATTCTTTGTATACAAGGTTATGGCTAGCTAACTTTAACTGAAGCTTCATCTGCAAAATTGTCAGACTGACGGCCATATCTACATAAGATACGTATATACATACATACATAATAAATAAAATATTCTAGTGGTTTCTCACATCTCTTATAATTAGTGAGTAGCAATGTCGAACATGGCATCGTTCAGTTCGCAACTCAAAGATGCGCTCTTGCGTCCAATGCACTGCAAATGCTCAAACATTGAATCATTGCCTGATTAAATGATCCCCTCAAAATGACTAGAAGGAAGGGAGCGGAGCTAATGCAGAATAAATATGGTATCAAAAGTTCCGTCATGATTACAGGCGGAATTGGAAAAGCTACCTCGAAATATCGGGGTTATATTTTGTCAAATCTGTAACTTACCAATGAGGTCGAAAGTTTACTCTTGCCGATATTCGTCACTCTCAGATTTGCGACAAAAAACAGAGGTAGTGTCTGCTCGATGGTTTTATATACTGAAAATAACACGCACCAAACTGAATTCAAAAACAGCTGAAAACTTTTTCATTCCTTTGCAAAACCCTAGAGCGAAACATTTTTAAATCTAATCGATTTGTTAGGGCAATTGCACCGAAAAACGTTTTAACAATTTGCACTGGTGAAGCCAGTCGAGAAACGGCTGATACCAGATTTTTTCTAACTCATGGTTATGATGAGACATGCACAGAGTTGATGAAGTTGCACAAAATCAAGACCTCCCTGATAGTTGATCATGCGGGTAACAGAAAGCTGATTGTGAAATCCGTCTAAGGAGGGAAACGATAAAAGTTAACTATGGCATAAGTAAATGCAGCTATGAATTCGCAAACTCTTATAAACAGAGTAGTCCACCATTTCTATGCTTACTGCTCGCCGTCCTTCAGTTCGTTTAAACTTCTGGCTTCACTGCATTAATAAGGGAATGCAGAATTGACTTCATAACCTTCAAAACGCAACGGCTCATTCAAACGCAAATATAAGTGGGACTTCACAAGTGGGACTGAATACCCTAAAGCCGGAAAATTAAGAGAGCGGAGAAATAGATGAAAAGTCTCACAAAACGAGAAGTACCGGATCAGACTCATACCTGCAGCCACAGCGACGAGTTCTGAATGTACAAAGACGCCAAGAACAATATGGCCCATAACAGTGTTAGACACTACCTGTGTATCACCTGACATGGAGACAAACTCTATGTCAAATATAAAACTGGTGACGAAGGTTTTGACAGCAGTGGCAGAACTGAACAAAAACTAGCAGAAAACGCATCAAATGCCTTGCAACCCACGTATAACTAGCCTAAAATGTTTAATAGAGTGAAAACTTATAGGAATATGCAAAAGCACCATAAAGAATGAATGACATCATATTCTGTTTTAATTACGGCAGGAGCGACACATTTCTCTTAAAGGCATAAAGGCATCTCTCAGACCGCGATTACCGCCGTTTCGTTAGCCGGGGTTAATAACAAATGTTCAAAAGTCTATCGTACGGTCAACGGAGAATTTGCCCCACTCTTTCTCGCCGCAGTAGCTGATCGTGTAGGTTCGTTACTGCCTCTCCATTGTCGGCGTTCTCCACTATATGGACAGGGGGCGAATTTACAAGGAGCATGTTTCTGACGGCATGTCTCATTCAAATCGATGACAATTCTATCAAAAAAGCTTTTAACGACGGAAAAACTTCAACCAGATATATCATGTCGACAAGTCTGCGAAACAACAGCATCCATGGCAACGAAGTTTAAACAATTATCCTGATGATCATATACCTTGGAACAATGTAATTTACATCAGGTTGATTTTATTACTGTAGTCTAGAATAATTTCAAGTTAACGGCAATAAATCAATGCACGACGGCGTGCGCGTCGAACAGAAGATGTTGTCTCCTCTAATTCTTACAGATTAGGCATGAAGTACACTAGAGCTAAAAATTTTCGACTAAGACACCTGCAATTTGCAGATGATCTTGCCAAGTTCGCCTTCTTTCGCTTTTTCGTACCGGACGATCACAACTGCAATTGTTCAGACACACCATCAAGGCGAAAGAAACGCGCAAAGAATCGCATTTCTTCATGTAGCTACGCAGCAAATTCAGGGGCAGATGGCAGAACTGTGTGAAACATCCAGCATGGCCGTGTCTCGATATCCAGTCAAGGGGGCTAGCTAGCAACTGCACAGAATCGGATCGTGTGTTACTCGTTTCACTTCTCGAAAGAAAAACTTTAGCAAATAATAACCTCTCTCTAAAAACTTTATTTAATAAACTCAACACTTATGAACAACAGTAACAGTTGTAGGCGTAGGCTCAGATCATATCTGATGAAGTTGAATTTCGACTGTCAGTTCAGGTCCGTCTGTCTTTATCGCATTATTCTGTCCGACCCTATAGGCACGCACTTTACGCAGGTGGTTGCTGAAGTCGAGACGCATGTAACAACAATGCTTACAGAAAGGCATATGACACATCAGTGAACTGAAGAGAAAGGGAAAGAACAAATGAGTACATTACAAAAGTACAATCAAGGTATCGACGTTGCATCTTCCCGTCAAAATCCTAAATGATGAGAATCGAGGCGGATCCGCCACTGTGATGCTTTATACGGCAATAGTAGCCTTTCAAAGCACTTGGCAACGTATGATGTGCCAATCATTGGCCGAAAAATGTCCTGATCGTTCTTTTTGAACTTTCGCTATCTCTCCAACTGACTGATGTGGTGTATACTGCTTCTGTACACATTACTGTTTTATTCCAGCGTCGAACTGTCGAAAAGCAGGTACCTACCACCTGCTGTAGGAAAAAAGTCGATTGACGTAGACACGGCGTTATTCTCAAGACTCCAGTAAATGCTGGCAGAATATGACGGATTTCACTCTCAACAAACGTATAAACGGTAGACGATCATGTTGAGAAATAGTGCCTAGTACCGAAAGTGCCTAAAAATGAATAAGACAAAGGAGTGATGATCGATGGACCCTGGGCAGAGAGTCTAAGCGGAATCCAAGATCCAATCTAAACTTAAAGCTTATTTCTGTTTTTCACGAGTATTTAGTTAACTGAAAGCTCAATACGAATGGCTATGTTAAACCTGTCTGGGGTAAAATATAGCACCACTGCTAATCTACTGATAATCGCCATGTATTAACTGTGCAATTTCCCATGGCTCAACCATTTCTTGCAGTTGTATTCTATGGTCTGTCCGTCAGAATGCCAAAATAAACAACCGCGCTTCAGTTATTCCTAGAAAAAACTATCCTTTCCTTTTAAGAATCATCTAGACAGTTCGATTCATGCCGTCACAAGTAAGGACGGCATGAATCGTAGATGAAACACGACTGTCTATTAGGATTCTGGCAACAAAATATTTTGTCCGTTATCACGAGGTTGTTTAAAAGTGGTTAAAGGCGTTGAACGATAGCCTTCGCTTTCTGTAATCATTTTCATCGCCCTGTACATTGTTGTTTTGCATAAAAGTGCTTTCTTTTGTTGAAGAATTGTCAGCAGTTGTGGACTTCATATGTAACCGGTTTTCATGCTTCCAACGGCACAGCGAATGAAAAATGCTTACTTAATGGGCATCGTGTACAAACTGGTCGTAAGGTTATGATTATCAATAACACGGGAAGATGACTTTACGGATGATGGACAGCAATCCAAGAACAGCTGTTTGCTGCCAATGGAAAGGTTAATACTACCACCGTTTTCGCATTCACAGCGTCAATTCAGCTGCAATCAGAACACGCTTAACTACATAATTGATCAAGAATACAATATCAATCCATTTCAGCACCTACACTAGTCATAACGAGAAAGTTACTTGCAGGAATACACAAGGAAAGATAAACCAGAATAATTGCTATGCTTCATGTATGCCTTCAACGTCAACGAGAATAAAATCGTCTGAAAGCAAATTCTTACCGTGAACGATTTCAGAAGTGCCACCTGAAGTCACACAGACTTCGGAGTTAAAATCAATGCTGTCCGGTGACCTGATGTCAACTTCAGCACCACCTGCAGTCGTGTGGATTGAATCCTCCGCTTCTGCAGCTGCAAACTGCTCGGCAGCTTTCTCGTTTGCCAACGATGTCTGCCCAACGAGGTCAGCACACACGCTTTTTACAGTAGCTTCCACCTCATCCTGGAATGTCACCCATTCCGTGTTTGCATCAGGTCGCTTATCGTGAGCCATCGCTCAATGCCATAATATGTGGGCGCAACGGTCCTAATGCCGATCTCGCACTGTTTGTTGTTGCTTGTCGTGATCGTGTGAGATGAACTTCAACCCATCCGAAGGGCTGACCGAACTGCTAAAACTAGCTAAACACGGCGCGCAAACGCAATTCAGCATAACAATCAAGCTAAGCCGCGATTAGACCACTTATTTTTCGACTACCCGACACAATAAGCAGTTGTAACACCACGAAGTAACCAAAGAAATCGACGTAAGGACCAACCTTAGCGGACAACCAAACTGTCCTCGATATGAATGCCGTTACATTCTCAAGTTTGCTGGTATTTACCTTAAGTTCTTACTGTAACATACATTAGTTCCGCATTATTTCGGTACGCTTCGGAACGATAAGGTAAAGAGGAGTTGGAAGCAATACTTGCTTATCAAATTTTACACGCAATTTTTTTGCCATTTTGAAAAACATTATACTGAAAAAGAGTCTAATGCGACGAAACCAGCAAATGCCAGAGCAATTATGCTAAATTTCCGAGAAAAAAACCTCATACTTCACAGAAAAGGTTCAAGGGTACAAATGCCCTTGTTTTGCTGAAAAAGATATATCTTGTGAATTTATAGCTGAAGAATAATATGAAAGTGCATTTTGATTTTGCATTACTTAAATAAAATTGATGAATGTCCGGTTCAATTGTATGGGACGGAAAGCAACGGCTAATACGAATGATATACATTCGATTACTGGTAGAATTTTAGGCGGCATAACAGCTCACTAAGGTGAATCTAGCGTTTCTCTAAAGGTGATTTCCCCAAACGGATTTGCAACAGTTAGATGCAAGGAAGTAACGGATCTTACACCTAACTAGAAACTGGTCGTCAGTCAGTCAGGTTCTATCCACTCCGCATACCGTTTCAAACTGCGGAGGTAGCGACATAGACGATGTCCCCGACGTTTCCGCTACTGTTCTAGCATCTAGCTTCAGAGAAATATAACTCGTGAATGCATCAGAGTCAGTGAAGGCATTTACTTCAGGCTATTTCTGGTCTTACTCTTGGTCTTCGGCCAATCACTTAAGAAATTAATGGCTGCTTGGCCTTTTACTTTAGAAGCGTCGGAGAAGTTGTGTCTGAACCCATGATTGTCATGTCTGCAGACATTGAAGTCGCCCTCCAGACCGCAGTGCCATCACACAACATATCACCTTGCACGACATCACTGTGTCAGAGACCAACAGTTTCTAGTATCCTAGATAAGTTAACGCGAATAACAATTAAAAGTATTGTAGCAAACTACAGCAATAATGACCATCTTGCTGAACAACAGTTTCCAGGAAAGCAGGCCGGAATAGGTGCAATACGTGGTACCTATCGCAAAATATTGGGAAGTGTTCATACACTGCTACAGCTAGAGTAATTCACTTCATCCTGCAAAATTTTAGATTTATCCATTTTCATCATCCATAGCCGCTTCTCTTTTCGTGTCAAGGAGGCAGGCGCATTAAAGAATGCTTCCAAATTTTGTGATAGAGTCTGAGATTCGGCAAAAGACAGAGGGAGTTCTGATCAGACTCTTTACATATGTTTGCACCAGGTTAAATTTCGCCTTCTCTCTGGCTCTTCTACCGGTCGATTGGACAAGAAATTTTTATTCGCGTTCCTTTCTGGGAGCATTCGCAATACATGCCCAAACAGCAGCTGTGACTTCTCAGTCTGAAAAAGCAGCGGCTGTACACTGAGACGCTCATGAATGTCTGCATTTCGGACCATGTCGAGACGCCTAACATTGGAGATACGTGTTAGAAAGTTCATTTCAGCCGCCTTTTCAGTCATGGTTCACGATTCATGACCGTGACTAAGCATTGGGATGAAGTTCGACTTCGATACCGAATGCCTAACCTTCATACCCAGTTCTGTCTGAATCAAAAATGGTTCGGACTAGTTCACGCAGAACGCCACTGGCTACTCCGAACCGCCGGCCGACCTATTCCTCAAATTTTCCGTTACTCTCAAGCATGACCACGACGTACTTGAACTTTTCCATTTGCTCCACTGCTTCTCCGTTAATCTGAAAAGGGAAAGGCACATGTGAATGAGAACGCAATGGAATTTTTGTTTTATATATGTTCATATGTACGCCAGCCACCTAGCAGTCGGCTGCGTACCTTTTCAGAGAGCGCTGTAAGTTAATTTCAAAAGATAGCAATAGAACAAAGTCGTCCGCAAGCAGCAACCTTCTAGTCTCGACACTTCCCTAACGACACACTCACTGCATTGGCTGCGTCTGACCGTTCAACTGATGTACAAAACGAACAGAAGAGAGAACAGAACACAGCCTTGACGGAGACCAGTGCCAAGAATTAAAGGCTTTGACTTAACGCAATTACTCTGATGTAACGTTTACCTCCTATCAGCCACGGCAACTGAATTGCTCATTGCAACTGGCTATTGATCCCATTCGTACGCAGACGTGACAATGGACTTCTGCGCGGGATCTAGTCATAAACTTTCTTTAGTTCAATAAACAACATGCACACCGAATTGGCGAACACTCATGCTTTCTCAACAATCTGTCATAGAGCGAATATATATATGGTCAGATGTGCTTCTTCCCGGCCGAAAGCGACATTGCTCTTCTTGTATCTTGGCGTTAGTTATTCCGCGGCACCTCCTTTTTACTGCCTTTGTGCGTACTTTTTTGGGAGGCTCAGTTAGGCAATGACCCGATGAATGGAGAATTCCTTGTAGTCATCCTTACTAAAAAGGGGTATACCAACCCCCGTTTTTCAATCCGCTGATATGTTCTCCCTAGCTATCGCTGTTTGACAGACACGTATAAGACTACACAATTCTTGTTCTTCTCATGCCTTGAGCATATCAGGGGGGATTTCATCAATTCCAGCAGTCTTCCCACTTTTGAAGCTTTTCACAAATTGTATAAATTTACTTACAAGAACAGTAATATACCATCCCTGCTGCTCTAAGGCGAATCTTCCTGCAATTGCTCGAAATTAATTAGTTCTTCAAACTACTCTCTCCATCGCATAGTAATGTCTTTATCCTCAGTAAGGAAGTGTCCAGGCGTGTCTTTCAGCACTTTTAGACCGCCGTTTCTTCACCTCAGACCCGGAGGATAGTCTGCCAGAATGCTCTGTTTGCCGTCTGGAAATTCGTTTCAAGCATTTAACCGAATTTCTTTCAGGAATCAAATTTGACTTTCGCCACTGCTTTCGCTACCGCCTTGTGTCCTTCGACATACGCCAGTAGAACGCTCTTTGCTTCCAATCTATTTTTCGGATGCAGTCTTCTTTCTAGCTGTCAGGTGTACCTCTCGTATCCACAAGAAATCTTTTTTCTGATCTCCCCAGGCCAACAAGCAGCCAAACCCGTGTGAATCAGCCGCATTTGGCGTCGAGCATCCGTACTTAAAGAGTTTCTACTCTGTTTCTACATGAATGATCGTCATCTAGATGTGTTCAAACTGTAGTTTGATGTTGTTTACAAGCTTTGCTCTCTTATCCACGAAAGGTAAAGTTTCCTATTTGATCCTCTGGTTAGTTTTGCCACCAGTTCGCAGTATGGCACTCCGTTTTTCACCGCGTTAGCTTACCAACAAC